GCGGCACTCGAAAAGCGTCATGGAGAGGAGAGAAGGATTCGCGTTTGCAGGGATTCGCGCAGTGGTGACTCAGAGTATGAATGTCAACTTTGTATAAGTGCATGCTTGTGGTCTGTGGTATATTGACAAAGTCTTCGTGGAAAGTAATTTTTGTAGTCGGAAATTTTCAGGAACGGGAATTTTCCCTGAAGCAGCACAGTTAAAAATCAACGAGGGAAATTTGGTGACGGAGTTCTTATAGCGCCCAAAATCCCCGAGTTATATATACGAAGTGAAATTAGCACCATAAAAGCGTATGGCACTCCGCAAAAAGCGTAAAGCCCTGGATACACCGATTCCCGAACCAATTCCGATCAAAGTAGACATGCTGATGACTGATGTTCATCATCTACCATCAAATTTTGACAGGCCGCACTAATTTGTTCAACGTAAGATTGGAATGGAGTGCCACCATTCATCATTTCCTGCCACAGGAAACATTTCTGCCAAGTTTTCATTTTAAAATGAAGCATATTAATGAGTTTAAGACTAATGACTCCCGACACTTTGATGCTACTTTGATCGGAATTGGTTCGGGAATTTGATCGTGTATCCAGGGCTTTTGCGGAGAATAGATTCCGCTCCGTATTCTAACACTTTTGGGGTTTTTGGGCGCTGTACACACTCCGACACAGAATTGCACTCCGAAATTTTTGACAAAATAGCCGCGACGGCTTCGCTTCTCTTCTTTTCGAACAATATCTAAGAATATTTACTGCCAGCGGTAAAATTCCTCACATCGGCGGATCCAGCAAATTGGCAACATTGTTTTTTCTCCATTTAAGCATATGAAAATGTATCGATTCTTGGAGGGGCCAGGTGCTCCAATAAGAATCGATTACTTAACATAGACTTAAGTGGATGGAAATCCGGCGATGAAAAATTTCTGAATCCGCTTCTGACCCCTTAATTTCCCCAAACTCGATGACGTCAATCCTAGACCTCCGATTAAACCCGATGCCGTCACACGGATACCCGGGTCCTGGTAAAGCAACGAGAAGACCCGTAAAATAATTATCATGTAACTTCACACGAGGGGAGTTCAAAGTTTAAACTCGGGAGGATATTACTGCGGCTGTTTTACAGGAGACGCTAATGGGACTCGGGTGCTAGACTCGCGGCGCGGTTCGAGACGTGTTGATATGAAGAAACGCTTGCCGTTCGCTCTGGGCTTAACGACGTGTGAATTGACGTGATATAAACTGTGAATATTGACGGAATAATCATCGCGTTCTTATTAGCTTCGTCTGCGAATGACCCACTTTCAAGTACTAATGGGAATCACTGTGGAAACTGTTTTGACTGATTTGTACTCTCTCCGTCCTGGACGGAGACAAGGAGCGAATTTTCCGCGATCGGATATAATTCGTATCTTTATCATATTCGAAGCTCGGAAATGTTCTTTCTTTTTTGACCTGCCTGTTGGTCTTACTGGGGACTGCTGAAATTCACAAATTTTCGAATGCCTTCTTTAAAGACCATCGAAGACCATCGAAGACCTTTCAATTAATTTTCTCCCACTTTAGTGTGTAAATCTTCGTGTTTTAAGCTTTACGGATGTTCTGCTGAAAGGAACTTTGTAAAAATGGATAACATCAGAAGAAGCTATTTGACACACACCCCTGCCTGAGCATTGTTCTTCATCACAAATATCATGCGTCCAATGTATGTGGTGATTTTTTTTCTTTCTTTTCCAATTTGTCCTTGAATACCTACTGTCGTAATTCCACATCGTCTAATTTGTTCTGTTTTTTTTCCCCAGAATTGTTACGCACGTTTTGTTTTATGCTTTTTATCTGATGGGCTAACTTGTGCACATTCATTTCGAAAGAGCTAACCCTGCTTTCTTACCTACACGTCTGCTGAAAAAGAACCTCATTTCATCGCTCCTTAACGTAGGCGCGTAACTCTGTTCTGCGGTTGCAATATTGATTTAGAAAATTTAATTTTCACAGAATTATAACTGTGCAATTTTTGCACGAAATCTCACCCATTTTTGCGTGCAATAGGAAGGAAAATTGGTAAAATTTTCGGCTCGAAATGTCTAAGAATTCCTAGTAAGATTAAATTTACGGGTGCGAAATTCGCAACGTTGAATCATAGTTAGGTACGTTATTTTGTCAGGGGAAGGACGACTTGCATACTTTTCGCCGCTTTTTTTATGTAAGGGTGTACCTCTATTTCCACATGAGCCCCGGCGATCATCGAGATATACAGAGAAGTGAACTCACGAGGAAATCGAGGTAGCCTCTGACGTCAGAGGAGCGACGATTTATCACCTGGCACCTGGACTGCGGAACAAAAGGTCTGCTCCTTGGGGGTCATTATTCAACATTAGTTCTCATGAGGAACTATGGTCACTGCTAATCAACGAGCAGGCGGGCTGGTGGGTCCTGTTTGCCAAAAAACTCGGTTCCTTTCTACCAAACGCAGCCCGTTTTAGAGTTGGCATTTGTAGATCTGACGAGAGATCTATAGCGGTCTTGATGATGCAAGTTTCGGTGACCCATGGGTGAGCCTGTCAGACCGCACCGCGAACTATCCACGATTTGACTAGGATGATTTATGTTCGACATGAAATCATTTTTGCGAAGTTCGGAGCTGAATTGATCACCGAGTCGGAATATGTGTGAGGCGCGGTGGTATTTCAATGCGCGGTTGAAAAGTAATCGAAATGTTGCTCAACGATTATTTAAAATACAGATGAGGTACACGGAGAAAAAAACTTCGTGCGTGGGACCCGAAGTTCAGGTCATATGGATCTCTGAAGTTTTCGGATTGAGCATCTGAACACTTTAGGTCTAGCTGCCGAAGTTCAGGTCTGACATCTGAAACTTCAGTTCTTACATCTGAAGTACTTCAGATGTGAGAACCGAAGTTTTTCGGATGTGAGAACCGAAGTCGTTCGGATGTGAAAACCGAAGTACTTCAGATGTAAGAACTGAAGTTTCAGATGTCAGACCTGAACTTCGGCAGCTAGACCTGAAGTGTTCAGATGCTCAATCCGAAAACTTCAGAGATCCATATAACCTAAACTTCGGGTCCCACGCACGAAGTTTTTTTCTCCGTGTATCAGTCTCTCCTTTTTTTCTCCCCTTAAAAAGTGTTTCCTATGGCTGGGAGGCAATTGTATCGTTCCTACGAAATCACGAGAAGCAACAATGGACCACTAGACAAGGTACGACGTAAAGCATTCTGCTAAAAGTCACGAGAGAAAAAGTAAAGTATGAAAGGTAATCTAAAACGTCGCAAACGGAGGCACGTGGTCTCGCACTTTAACCATCGACAAATCATTTCGTAAAATTATTAGTATATAACTGATTATGTGTAATATCATTGCGATGCTCAGAATGGACTTGCACACTCCACCAGTGGCGTTTCTTGAAAGTTGGCAGTACTGTTTTTCCTCCATTGAAATCTATGCAAAACAATCGATTCTTCCTCACCAAAATTCGATATTTTCAATGGATTAAAATGGAAGAAAAACAGCGTTGCCGACTTGCCAAATCGCCACTGCACTTTCCGCTCCATAGCATAAACGTTCTGGGTGCCCCTTGGTCTAATTAACTGTGCGCCAAGATGAAGATGTAACATTGTCACGGGTCTGAATAACTTATTTAAGAGCTCGCTGGCTTCGACCGGTATCCGGATCAACGTTGCCAGTTCCCCTCTAAAATACCCCGAATTTCCATCTAACAGCGTGAGATATTATGCCCAATGCGGCAACGACGCCGGACTCGGCGCCGTAACCTTTCCGGTCGGTGGTCGGAGTAAAACGAACCGTAAAATAAACCGCCCAAAATCCGCGTTATCGCGCGTGTTGGCGGCTTTGTTATCCCGTCGTTAGGGAGACCTTAATTGAAATGCACCCGGAAGCGGAGAGGTCCAGAGATTGAAGGGGCCGCAATAGGAGACGGCTATAGTATTAAGTTGGTCAGTTTACCGGGGAAATGAATCTTCCACGCTAGAGGCAGACTTTACGTTAGAATGTGTGGAGGAGGTGCCCTATAGTTTTTTCCGTAATCCTACTTCTGAGCCCGGAACGTAGACGGTAATGTTTTAAGCCCGGGGTTTTTTTTTCTTTCAGTGTAGAATGACTGATCGTATGGATTCTATTTGACTGGATATGTCCAATCAGTTCTGTGTGTGAATTAGTCGCTTTTACGGCGCACGAGGGCGCTCTGAGACGCCTACCCACCATAGGAATCTGTCATGGTTAGGATCCTCCGGAAGGTGGCATCTATTCGTCTCTGTCTGGATCTTTTAGCTGGACGTTTCTCTGCAGGTCAATTGTTGAATCATCGTTATCGAATGATTCTGTTCGATAAATTCCTATCTTAGCAATGGTTTTTATCGCTCAAGGTCATTTGATATCGATTCAACAATCGAGCTGCTAGAGGAACCTACTCCAAGACCTTTTTCGGCAGCCTGATGTCGCATATGCGTCCTCTGCACATGCTCATAACATACCAACTGCTTGGTCATGATCTCGTACACAATTGTATAACTAGTTATGGACCTCGAAATAAAATTGGACTACATTTTCCGACTGGAAACTAATAATTCTGGCTCAGTTTAGAAACAGCTTACGTACCATTGGTTTCTCTTTTCACATGAGTGTTTTTAAAAACGAGCCGGAGATTATAATTGTGGGGCTTGGAGGACAAGGCGCATAAGTGCAGTTTTTGCTATTTCGAGAAATGCGCGTTTGAAGTTTTGAAAGTACATGGATCCTAAAGGTGAAAAGAAAGTTCAAACCGACTTTTCGATGCTTAAAAACTGAAATTTGGGAGCGAATTTTTTACAGAATATGCATTAAGAATAGCCTTACTTTTAAAAGCATTAATATCTCAATTTTTTCAAAAACTACACTTATTCGCCTTGTCCCTCAAGTCCCTCGATTCCAAAATGCAAAATGCAGTCTCGTTAGCTTTTAGAGTGAAATGATTTGTTGTACTTACATAATCTAGTTTTTCAGTCTTGGTCTCGGGCTCGATCTCGCGGGGCCGGGGCCCGGCGTCGAGGTGCGGCTGGAGCTCCGGGAGCCGGAGCTTCTCGTACTCGACGCCCGAGAGGGAGCCGTAGAGGACGGCGTTGCGGAGCCCGTTGGGGACCTGGGCGACGTTGTCGTGGACGAAGACCGGGTACCGCGGCCGGGACCCCGGCGACGCGGACTCCGCCGAGGAGGCCGACGACTGCGGCGAGAGCGTCAGGTCCGAGAAGCCGGAGGACGTGGAGCTGCTCGAGGACTGCCGCACCGGGTCGTAGAGGGAGCCGTCGAACTTGCCGAGCCGCCGGAGGAGCTCCAGGCGCCCGGGGTCCGTCTCGGAGAAGGACCACTCGTTGACGGAGCTGGAGCGGCTGAGGGCCCGGTTCATGGTGATCACCGTGTCGCTCTCGCGCATCGACTCGGAGAGGCGGCGTAGGGCGGTCTCCGAGGAGAGGAGCTCGAGGGACTTGTTGATGGTGCGCTTGAGGTGGCGGAGGACGTCCTCCGGGTTGGCGGCCTGCGCCGGGTCCGCGGCCTGGTCGATCGTCGACGAGAGGTCCCGCAGGATCTCGCAAGCCGACTTCTGCTCGCGCTCGTACATGGCGGCTTTGCGTGGCTCCAGCGCATAGCGCGCGTCCGGCGCCTTCTGCGACAGACTGGAGTACCTGCAACAAGGACAGAGGCAAAAGTCAGCCTGAGCATTCACTAATTGGACGTATTACTGCCAAACGTAACTATGTGCATTACGACGTGAGCCCTGTTATGCATATATTCTTAGCGGTCTCAGGGCTCATGTCTTAATGCACATAGTTTCGTTTGGCAGAAATACGTCCAATTCATGGCTAAGGAAAGGGTATCTAAATAGAGAGAGTGCGAACACGGCGGTAAGTTTCGAGGTAAGGTCAAAAAGCTCTCACACAGATTCTTATATTCTTAAAAAGCAACTAAAAAAAAAAAAAAAAAAAAAAAAAAAAAAAAAAAAAACTGTTAAAATTTTCGTTCCTAGGTGCCAAAGCTACAAAGGTAAACTTGAAACTGTGAGCTACGGCAACGCACGGCTGCAGTGGATTTAAAATTCAAAAGGCAATTTTTTGAATAATTACTAAAAGCTGATGATCATTTCCGAATGTTGAGACGACGATCACCTCTTTAAAACAAACCTTTCATCACGTGAGACTTGCCGTTTTAAAATTTAAAGTTAAAAGTCGTTTTAAGTTTTGAATCCGACCTCCCCACCTTCACCCTAATTACCAGATTTCAAAAATTGTGATTGTCTTGGACGCAGGAAAAGATTGTCTATCAACCGAAAAAATATTTCGCAGATCGAGCTGAGTCCGAAATGACTGATTTTGTGAAAGGTTTTTTCAAGGAATGAAGTCGGTTTGATCTATTTTGGTTCAATAATATAGGTGTGGAAATTTTGAAGCAACGCAAAAAATATACGCGTTCTTCATAGTCGAAATCCCAACAGGTCAAGCCACGCAAACCTCTGATGAAAACTCACTGTCCGCTGTATCACGTGCTTAACGGCTGGATACAACTATTCGTACTCAATGGATGTCTGTATTGCATAGCAAAAAATTGAAGGCGTTTTGACTTTGTTGCCCGCAAAGCTATGTTTCTTGGGCACTATTAGGAGTCGCACTGGCTAGGGCTGTTGCAAAAATACTTCTACCGTGGTAAGGGATAATTCAACATATTAGCATTCCAACGTTGCGTAATTTAATTGTAAAAAATATTTATTTTCCCAAATAAATTAGGCAAATTTTTCATGAAATTTTTAGGTGTGCAAAATTTAATTCTGAATCGAATGCTACGGGAAATTTGGTTAGCTTCTCATGTTTTCCTATGTATTTATGTTTTTTTTAAAGGAAATTTTAGCACCGAACGATGTTCATACGGCATTTCCCCTTTAGCATTGCAGAATGGATGCGAGAAAAAGAAGAGAGGACTGGCATGGTGCAGCAAATCCTTCAAGTTCTTCCGCGTGAGCCAGTCTTAACAAAAATTGCCATTAAAAAAAAGAAAGAAAGATAGATGACGCCAGGACATTGCATGATAGGGTGAAAAAACAGTGTTGAGTATAAACGTAATTGGTGGCATCATCCACCGTGCATTCTAAAGGATGGTATCTCCATTCATACTGGTCGCTCAAACAGATCGTTATTTTTTGTTTACCAATAAAATTCAACCGTAAAAATTCGGTTCTTGACACACGGAACAGAGCAAATTCCATGAGGTTATAATCAGGAAAGGAATGTAAGGAACTGTAACTTCCTTTAACGTTTCGTACCAATTTCCGCGTAAAGGTATAGAATAAGCCCTGCGGCTTTAAACAGCGTTGTTATAGGGATTATTGCCACAAACAACACTCAGCCTCTCCTTTCTCCTTATTCTCACATTCATTCTGCAATACTGAAGGAAAAACGTTGTATGAACATCAGACGATGCCAAATTTTTTCTGAAAAACAGGCATATTCTGGAAAACGCGTAAATTTCGCGGAGGTTTTCGTATCATTAAATTCAGAATTACATTTTGCATACTTAACATTTTTAAGAAAAATGTGTCTAATTTATTTGGCAAAATAAATACTTTTTACAATGAAATTAGGCAACGTTGGAATGCTTATGTTGAATTTTCCCTTACTGTGGCGGAAGTGCTTTTGCAGCAACAGCTTACCGATTTTAGGTGTAGCGACTCGTAATGGTGCCCGATGAACATAGCTCTGCGGGCAACAAATTCAAAACGCCTTCAATTTTTTGCTATGCAATACGGACATCCATAGAGTACGTATAGTTGTATCCAGGCCTTCAGTCCGAAACCGCGTCTAGTTCGTCAGGTGACAATGAGATTCTACCAGAGGGTACCGGTGCCCGGCTTGAACTTGTGGGATTTCGGCGATGAAGAACGCGTATATGGCTTGCGTTGTTTCAAAGTTTCCTCACGTATTTATTTTATCAAAATAGAAGAAACCATCATGATTTGAAAGAACCTCCACACAATTATAAGCCATTTCTGACTCAGCCTGATCTTCGTAACATTCTTAGGATTGAAAGAAAATGTTTTCCTGAGTCCGAAACAATCACGCAAGTTTTAAAATTGGATAATTAGGGATTTAAAACTTTAAAAAGGCAAGTCTTGTTAACGGTTTAAAACGGAGATCGTAGCTTTTACATGTAGGAAATATCATCAGCTATTAGTAATTATTCATAAAAATTGTCTTTCGTAATTTAAATCTACTATAGCCATATGTTGCCGTGCGGCTTACATTTTAAGCTTTTACTTTTGTAACTGAGGCATTTAGGGATTGCATATGTTTCGATTATTTCGACTTTCGAGTCCCAAGATCACCCCTCATCCGAACCGACCAGGAGTCGCGACTTATTTTCGCAATCATTCAAACGCCACAGCTTCAATCATAAACGCTTGAACGTTTGAGCCACGGCAACATGGATTCGATGGCTTTGTAAATTTCACAAATTAATTTTGAGAATATCTGCTAAAGGGTCTTCTCTAAATTTTGAAACCACGTAACTAGGTACGCGTTTTCACTGTTTCGTCGTCGAGATCCCAACAGGTAAAGCCAGGCACACTGTGGTGGAATCTTATTGCCAGCTGACGAACCGAGCGCGATTTCGGGCTTAACGAAAGGATACAACTATTCGTACTGTATGGATGTCCGTATTGCATAGCAAAGAATTGAAGGCGTTTTGAATTTGTTGCCCGCTATGCTATGTTTCTCGGGCACTATTACGAATCGCTATACTTAGTAAACTGTTGCTGGGAAAGCACTGCTGACATGCAAAGGACAAGTATCACATGAGCATTCCGACGTTGCCAAATTTCATCGTGAGAAAAATATCAGGCACACAAATTATGCATATTCTCCCTTGAAATTATACGGTATTTAAGATTAAATGCGAATTGAACACTGCAAAAACTTCAATGAGAGAAGTTTATCCAAAATATTCACGTTTTTTTTTTTTTTCAGGTAAAACGCCGTATGAACATTCAATAGTTGCCAAATTTCTCCGAGGCAGGAAAGTTGACCACATTGTTCTTTGAAATTTGCAGATATTTTTGATTAAATTGCGAACAAAATGGACCACTAGACAGGGTCTGAACCAAAAACACGTTACATGAGTTCTCTCCAAAATCTTACAGTAAAACATAATCATACAACGGGATTGCGTGTAACATAGTTTCTTTTAGCATAAATATGTCCAAATGGAAGTTGGATTATACAATGGACGTCCTTTTTTTTTTTTTTTTTTTTTTTTTTTTTTTTTTTTTTTTTTTTATATTGTTTAGGTGTTGATTTTTACATTCCCATTGCGTGTTTCGTTTTTGTCGTGAAATTTTGAAGAAGAAACATCTTGTGTAGTGTTCCAATTAGTACCTCGACCAGAGTTTCATTGTCTAAAAAAATGTTTGAAAGATTTTCCCTGTAAATTTGTTTTAATTGAAGGGAATGGAAACGTCGAAAGGCCCATACGGCGATCTTCCCTGGGAAGACAGCACTGTTAACTGAAACGAGGAGAGCGACAACGTACCAGTAGATGCTTTCGTCAGCATACACGGAGGGCGGTTTGCGTTGTCGATTCTCATATCTCGGCCAAACGGGGCGGGGGATGCAGTAGTCGACCTTGCCCTCGGGGATGGTGGAGAGGGCCAGCGGGCAGTGCTTCTTGGCGCAGACGCCTTTGAAGGAGACCTGGATGCTCTTGACGAAGGCCGGGTTCTGCTCGATCACCTGGATCGGAGCGTGCTCTCGCTCCGGATCCAGCGAGCTTCTTTGGCTACCGTCGCGGCTATGGCTGGTGTCGCGGGTCTGGCTAATTGTAAGATCGCGGGTCTGGCTGACGTCGCGGCTCTGCTGGCTCTGGCTGCTCGTCGTCCCGCTGGTCGTTCGCTCGGTTCGAGAGGAGGAGAGTTTGCTGCCATAGCCCGAGCTGGTCAGCTTCCGTCGCGGCGCTAGACTCTCCTCGTTCCCCGAATCCTCCTCCACGAATAAAGGGTTGATCCTGAAACAGAGCATCGCCACCATTAGATACAAATTGGTTCATTGGACCGAAGTCGCAGAATAAGGTACTTTCAATGGTACCGGTAACGAGAGGAGACTCTCCATTGAGAAAACGTAGATACAAATTTTTACGAAGCATCCCGAGCCAATGGTACCAGGAGAAAAACAAGGGAACTATCGGGAAATAAAGCTGAGAGACACTAAAAACTAAGTTTCGACTCAAACTAAGTCATTTTCAGTCGGAAAATATGATAAAAAGTAAATGATATCGAAGAAAAACTTGAAACCTACTTGTTATTGGCCGAGATCCGAGAAAAAAAAACCCTTTTAGCCTGGTTCCCCGTTTTTCGGCTTCACCGTAGCAGTCTCTGTGGTATGAAAATACTATAAGCTCAAAATCGGCACTTTGGTTCAGCCAATGCACGTTTTTTACGGTTTAAACGATACAATATGGGAAGAAACACTGCTCGATCCCTGAACCTTGAGTTAACCTGCAGAACCTGTAAACCTGCGGAAACCTGCGTTATATTGGATTGGACCTGATAATTTGTACCGATCCTGGACTTTACACAAGGATTAAAAATGAGGGGAACTAGGAATCAAAGTGAGATCATTATTTTCATTCTCAAAAATGGAAACGTCTTTAGGATCTCCTGTCTGAAAGCTACATACTCAAGAGACGTTCATTAAAAAACACGCAAACTTGCACATTTGAATATCATTCACTCAATTTTCATCAGTAAACGTTTTTGAAAACTAACAGAGTGACGTGTATTTCATAGAATAATAAAGGATTTTAGAAGTTCCCATCAGGTAAAGACATTTCAAATATAGTTGAGTTTAAAATCTTAAACACGGAGGCGCTGTTCGATGAAATTGTATTCAACCTTTTTTCAGTTTCTATCAAATACCTACCACAGCGTGGCTCACTGTGCAAATAGCATTTAAGAGCTGTTGATTTCGATCAAATGCACAAGGTCCCAAGTTTCACCCATGTAAACCGCAACAATGATGCGGCACGTGCCGCACAAGGGTCAACAAATGCATATTCTCAGGCTTAAAATAAACCGAGAAAAAGTAGCAAAAGGTGAGAATTTTAAATGTCATAACTTGTGAATTTAAGGATCTTACTTTTTTTAGAATGACACATGTGTTGCTTAGGAATATTAATACATAAATACATAAATCATGTAGCACTTTATGTATGTAAGTAGCTAGTAGCTCTATGAATGTCTTATTATGTTAGTGGATAAAGTTTTTATTTCCGCATTTATTCGAATGCTAATGGTGTAACTGCACTTGATTGCTGAAATTTTGGTTTAAATGGTTTGAAAGAATGAACTCAAATACTAAATTCTGACTAAAAACTTGACACCAAATATTATGTTCAGGAATAAAGTCAGTCTTAGTCATTTTTGACTGCGATGCATTATTTTTCGCAAAAATTTCAAAATTAAGGAATTTAGCCTAAAAACGGACCCGTAGAAAGTCTCTGTCTTCAATAGGAATGAGAAACCTCATTCAATATGTATGACAGATAAATGAACTGAATTTTGCAATTGGAACTTCAATTTCTGGCTCAGTTTAAGAACATCATATGTACCATTACTTTTCCCTATGCATATACGTGTCTTTACAGATGAGCCAGAAATTGTAGTTCTGAACTGCGAAATGAAGTCCAAGCATTGTTTTCAAGGTTCGTACATACATTTTTGAAACGAACTGAACGGATTGTATCAGTTTTCGCGATGTTTACTGACTTAACATCTGATTTCAGCCGACTATTCCTTATCCTTTCCCTCAAAGAAAGTCATTAGGTCCCCTCAAATGGATCGCGGATAATCCGACCGCGGATAACAGAGTCTCGATTGAACTGCGTTTAGCAGAGAGGAACCAATCCACATCAGCTATTGCTAAATTTAACCGGGCAATTTAATTTTTTACAGAAGGACGTTTCTACGGATTCCTTTGAAAATTTTAAGGAATTTCCATCGTACTATGCAAAAATTTACACAAAAATCTACTCAACCGTTTTCATCTAACAAATTAAATTTCCCAATTAAATTTGGCGATAGCTGATGTGACTTGGTTCCTTTCTGCTTACCGCGGTCCAATGGCGACCCTCCAACTTCGATCCGGGCCCGATGTGCGGCGCGGCGGCCGGCTGTGCGGTAAACAAAGCTGGAAAAAAAAGCACGTTCACTTTCGCGAGGCTAAGAGGGAAAGGTCTCCTAGTTCATTAACTTTCCCGATTGTAGTCGGGTGGGTAATCGCGCTCGCAATAAAATACCTAGTATGAAAACCGGTCTCGATCCCCCCCCCCCCCCCCCGCCCGCTGCCCCTCCACCCCACCCCCAGGGCTCCCGCTCGTAAGACTTACTGACATACATTCATCGGGAGTCCGATAGCGAGAAAAAGTGATTCCGTTCCTGCGCGAGACCGGACTTTACGCGCCCCGACCACGCGCCGTTGCCAAAGTGTCAAAGTCAGCTGAAACATGTACGAGTTGTGAGGCTGGGATCACAGCGGCCTTTCGTTGAAAGTGAGAGGAACATTATTTTTCTACGAGAAGGAAAAAATGAAGAGGAAGGAAGGGAGGAAGCAAAGCAGCGAGCTGATTGTAGAAATTGTTAGACAAAGAAGACATAAGGAGCGATCCTACGGTTGAAATGGGTGGTTCCTGCAGTATAGTCCAGGCAATACAGAGGTTTACCTTGCAAAACTTAGGTGAAATCAAGTTATAATTGATTCGTATGTAATTTTTCACGATGAATCCGAATTTTTTGTTTCCCGACAAATTTTCCTTGTGCTAACTTCGGAAAACCGGAAAAACCGCGAAAAATGACGTTTCTCCGCGGTTTTTCCGAGATATCTCTTTTCCAGTGCGATATATCGACAAAATAGTTATTCCGAAATTAAAGCTGATAAAATTACCTATAAAAATTATTGGAATTTTTTTTCGTAGGTTCATCAGGGAACTAAGGGAGAAAATGATGGATTACCTAAAGGGTATCTCGTGGGTTGCCATTAGTAAGTCTATTACCTACATCCTTTGTCCATTACTAGCACTTGCTTCCACTGATAGGAACCTCCGTTTCCCTTTCGTCTTCTTTGTCTGTCGCTTTGTCTACCAATTTTATCAATCAGCCCGCAGGAGCGTAGTTCCGGACAAATTTTATGGGAAGGGGACAAAAGTTAGAAAGAGAGGGCGAAATGTGTTTTTGTATGGTGGGGACAAAATTTCGTAAAAAAATTGAAAAGCACCGAAGCAAATTTGTCGGTTCTCTCCAGAAACCTCCATTCCAAAGTTGCAAAATAAAGGGACTCAGACAATTTACTTCATTACAAGATTGTGACCCTGCATTCTCAGTCCAAAATTTGCCCCATTTAATAATTTCACGTGTTATCAGGAGAAAAATCGGTGAAATTTTACAACTAGAAATACCCCAAGGTTTTCTGGGAAAAATACAACTTGAGAGTAGAAATCCAGCCAAGCTGAAATATGAGTGGATTTTTGACATTTCTGATACGTTAAACGTGACTCTCGTGTAAATGTATAATTGTAGAAGGTCTGTCAGGTGGGTTGTACCTCTTGTTTGCACCATACTTAACGAAAGAGTAATTAAAAGCAGAGTCGTCTGATTTTACTATCGTTATAGGTGATGATGCCACGATAGTACTTTATCACACTAGCGTCGCATCATCACCTATACTGATAGCAGAATCGGACAACCTCGTAAAACCTCACATTTAAAAGGGGGAGGGACTATGACGTCATATCGAAATCTTCTAATTAGAAGAAAGATCTGGCAACATGTGGCATACTCCTTCCATGCTTAACGGTGTAGTATGCGCGGATTCTACGGATCTAGCCATTACTCAAGTTTTCAGCTCCCTCGACCGTCGTCGTCGGTCGCGTCGTCGTCAGTTCGACAGCGACTAACGGGTTTCAATGTAAGTGCCCCTGGCCCCCCCCCCGATTCAAGCCCCTGCGACTCGTAAAATTTTCGAACGACCAGAGATTTAAAACGCTTTAATTTACTGCAAGCTTCGCGCACTGGACATTGCTCTCCTGAGAGTAAAATTAATTTTATGGACAGATAATATAAAGCCTCGCGGCGGGAGGAATTAGAACCGAGGAAGTCGATGATTACAACGCCTGTTTCCGAGCGGTGTTGCCGAATCGATCTTTAAATTAATGTTTCCTGGAAAAAGCAAACGGACTATTGAGTGGTTATAAAACATGGTAACGAATGAAATTGCTGATTTAATATTTCCGTGGTTGAAAAAAGTGTCCGGCATGTTTCAATGTACATTTTATCGAAGAAAATTTGGCAACTCTCGAATGTTCATACGGCGTTCCTCCTTAGCACGGCAGAATAATGGAGCATACGTTGTTTCTAAACAGAGCCTGAAATTTTAGTGCCTAATTACAATTAATACAGTCAAATTTTCTCATAAGAGAGCTATATGATGTTTGATACACTACCAGTAACGACTAGTTAAAATTTTTACAATAAAAGTTGAAAATTTTTCGGAGAATGTTTCTCGATTTGAGCAGCTTATTTCTCCTCTCGGCTAAAGTCCCGGACGCCTCAAAATCGTAGTTTTATTACAATCCGCTCTATGATGGTGTCTAGGAAATGAGGGAATTTTTGACTTAAGCGGGATTTAGTCTCAACCGTGGTTTGTCTCTGCGAGATTTTAATGTATTGTCGTAGTCCTCTCTCCGGATCTTTTGCCATAGTTCATCCTTATGTTGTTGTAAAAAGGGTGATTTTACTGGTGATCAGTCCACTCATGCGGGTGAATAATCTCTCTTGTCCAACAGCGGGCTGATGTTAAAATTGNACGATGAATCCGAATTTTTTGTTTCCCGACAAATTTTCCTTGTGCTAACTTCGGAAAACCGGAAAAACCGCGAAAAATGACGTTTCTCCGCGGTTTTTCCGAGATATCTCTTTTCCAGTGCGATATATCGACAAAATAGTTATTCCGAAA